ATATCTCAATATAAATGGGTAAGCCGTATTAGTCCAGTAGACAAGATGTCAAAAACGCAGTATTGCAGTGTGCCATATACGTACCCATTTATATTGCACTACGATCGAAGATACCGAATCCAGCCGTTTAAAGAAGTATTGAAGTTGATCAGAAAGGAAACTCAGATCAACAGTGACATTTTTTCTAACCCGTTATTGCACACTGCAATACTGCGTTTTTGTCTTTGACTATCATATACACACACACACAATTTTTCTATTTTTTTTCAATGACAAATTAAAAATTGTCAGGCCAAAACCGAAAATGTTTATTTTAATTTTAAATATTTTATTTTTATAAACTTTGTTTTTTATATTAATTCATGTTTTACTTTACTTTTTAGGGGCTTCAGGCACATATTCCCTTTAAAAATAGAAAAAGAGATTGAGGACACAAAGTCCTCAATCTCTTTTTCTGTATCCCCTGTTATCAATGAACAGGAATACTCCAAGAGTGTTCCTGTTCATTGATAACATGAGAACATAGTATGTTTACTATAACTACAACTATGAATGAACAGGAGGTGATGTAGATCACTTCCCATTCATTCATAATTGACAATATAGTAAACATACTGTGTCCTCAATTATCTACAAACCACTCAGCAATCACTGATCGCTAAGTGTTTGCTCCCGCCCTCCGACACACTGTCACAGGAGGCTGAGCGAACGGTGCAGGGAGGAGAGCTCAGCCTCCTGTGACAGCGCGGGCTGTCTCCGCCCCCACACCGCTCTGCGATAGGAGGCTGAGCGGTGTGGGAGGAGACAGCGCTCGGCCGGCTGTCACTTTCTCTCCTTCTCGCTGGGACACAGCAGCGCCCAGCGAGGAGGAAAGAAACCTGGGATGCGCTGATGTATCGGCAGGAAAATGGCACTTTCGGCATTTAGCCAAAAGTGCAATTTTCGGCCGATATATATCGGTGCATCCCTAATATTTACACATTATTAATGTATTCCATTTCATTGTGCAAGGTAGGTGAGCTTTCGGTTTGTGTTTATATTGTAGCAATGGGCTATTCCTTAAAGAAGCTACAAGACCTGGGCTTATCCTTCTGCAACGGTCAGTTTGGCGTCACATAAAAAAAGGGAGTGTACAGTGAGTAACTTTACTTTAACACACATACATTTACAGGACACACAAAACATTTGACACACTTACTTACCAAATCAAAGTCAATAACTTACTGAATATAGCTGGTAGTGAGGATGAAACTCCCTTCATGCTGAATATGTTTGGATCCCCTTCTTGTTCTTTAACAGATGTCCATCCCTGTATCTCTGATCCAACATCTCTTCTTAGGATTTCACACTCTCCAATTTTTTCTTTTTTTGAGGGCTTTCGTATTCTACCAGGTGCTGTACGAAGAAAATTCAAATGTGGTATCTTATATAAAAAGGCCTTTCAAACGGATTAAAAAAAAAGTTATAAAAAAAAAAAAGCAGTTGCACTATGAAATAAGCCTTTGCATTCTATGGGTATGATGGATTTACTAACTAGAAGTTCAATTTTCAAGCAGTATGGTTTTCAGTTTGTTGATTCATAGCAGCTTGCTCACAGTGAACTACAAAATTAAACAGAGCCACAAGGCTGCTGGCCTCACTCTTTAAAACTAGATTTATGCTTAGACTTTTTCAGAGGCAGGGGCTGCAGGCATGTTGACTGTCAGTCAAATTACAGGTTATTCTGATTGGGCAGAACTCTAGCTCCAGGTGGTATGGAAATTCACCTGCCTTACCCTGCTTAGTCCTATTGGCCAGAAAAACAGAGTGATGGGCCAGTAGAAATAATGTGGGAGTCAGGGGGAAGTGGGCAATCAACACTAGTTTTTTTTTTTTAAATATTAGAAGAATACAAATCATGTTTATCCTCTAAATCAGGGGTAGGCAAACGCCCTCCAGCTGTAATGACACTACAAATACCATCTTGTATCTGCCTCTGGGAGTCATGTCTGTGGTGTGTTGCAATGCCTAAAGGGATTCGTAGTTGGACCGCCAGAGGGACGGAGTTTGCCTCCCCCTGCTCTTAATCCTGTAGAAAAAAAACATTGCCCTTATATAGGGAAACAAGGGCCACTAGTGTTGGCTACCTATAAAAGCATTGAAAGGTGTGCATTGTAAGCTGGCAACACATGAACTGTACAATCTAGATTTACCAACAACTATATAAGGCAAGGGCCTACCTAAGCAATCCAGCTGACTACATTCAACATGGTAAGCTCTCTTAACATTTTTGTAGTGGTTGGTAAATCTAAAAGATTGCACAACCAGGATTGTTGCACGTGTGATCATACCCTTCGCACAAATTGAAGGGCCAATAATCAGGCTAGGGCTTAGGGTTATACTGCTGTCTGCTAAAAATAACATTAAAAAAAAAAAGAAGAAGTGTATTTAGCTTTTTACAACCCTGTTTAAAATTTGGTATGCATACAATTGAACAGCAGTGTTTAGTAACTGCCAGCTTTTTACCTCTTGTTGGTTTCTGATCCTCTGCATCAGAAGCTCGCAGCTCATCAATACTGAGATCCAACAGCCATTCTGGTTCTTCTTCAATCGATCTAAGAGCGTCCACTGGTGGTATGTCTAGTTTCCCTTGTGGACGGCGCCTATGCATTTCTGGAGTGCTACTCTCTTTTGGGGCTTTTTTCGCGCTTCCTCTCCCTCTCCTAGACCTGTTCTTTGCAGTCACCTCCTCATCATCAGATTCTGAGGGTGCGAGTAATGTACAACTCTTTGTAGAAGGTCTCCTTCGGGATGTAGGCTTAGCCTGCACAGCTTGCTTTTTGCTATTCCAAGTTGGGTCAGTATCAAGGTTATCTGGTATTTCAAGGTCACTGTCACTGAAATCAACCTGTGATAAAGTGAAAATAAGCACAAAGGTATAAAGCAGGGGCATACAGTTATCTCTATAGGCTTATGAAAATAGGTTATTTTAACATAAAAAAAAGAAAATAAAAAGAGAAACGAATAAATGTTCTCACCTTTATTACTGCTCTAGTTTTACGTCTTCGAGGCGCTCTTGGCTCTAGTTCCCGTTTGGGAGAATCTTCATCATACACAGAGACTGAGCACTTTCTGCCAACTGCTGGTGCAACTGGTTTTGTCTGTGTTGTCAAAAGGTCTTTCTGCAATATTGTCGGAGTCTTCATAGACACAAATGGAAGGCAAGGTTCACTTTCATCAGGAGAAAAGAGATCATGGAGACTTGCAACTGAAAGCTTTTGGGCTCCTTTCTTTTTATTAGAAATAGCACTATTACAGATCTGGTTGCTCTTAGAGCTCAAGTCGGCTACTCTCTTCGCAATGTGAGGTTTCCAACCCCACACCTGCATAAAGAGATCTGCAATGCAGCCTCCGTGCTTCAAGGAAAGCTTGTAAACAGAGTCTAATGCTTTGGCCAGCAAAAGGCTTGCCTTCCATTGTTTGGAAAAAGAGGCTGGTCGTGAAGAGACAAAGTCCAAGCCTTCTTCTAAAATGCCTTCTGCAAGATTAGGAGGAGGACTCGTATACACCACTGACTGATATATTCGAGCAATTAGCCAATCATTAATACCAAGACTAATAGACTTACAATCTTTAACATGCAGAATGTCCTTTAGGACCTCAGAGAAGTAATGCGTTTTGAACTGACTACGTTTGAGAGCTAAATGCAACAGATCCTTGCTCTGAGGTTCATTCTCTGCCTTAGCCACCAGCCATTGAGTGCAGAGTAAGGCAAGTACCAGGTCAGAGCATAGAGGACAGGTACATTCCAGTGTATGAGACACAAAATCCGGAAGAGTCTTCTCAGAAGGAGCAGCAATTGTTGGGGATTCGGGGGGCTTCACCAAATCTCTTGTTTCAACAAACTGAAACTGCACCCTTTTAAGAAAATCATCTGCTTCTGCTGGAGGACTGGGTGTGAAATCTGGGGTCTTTTCTTTTTTGTTTGATTTCTTCCCTTTGGAGACTTTAACTTTCACCTCTTTTTGCTTAGTGTTAGCTGTAAAATCTAGCAAGTAGTAACATTAAGTTAATTCAACTTCATTATACTATGCAATAACATATGTTATCCAAATATTGAATCTGAGAATAAAATTGTTACCTTGATTTAAAAAGAAATCGTATTCCCTAATAGGGGAAGTGTAAAGTATCAGTCTACAAAAGTCAGTGCTGAAAAACCCACCTGTGCAAGACTCCATGAGGAACACCACATATTGCAGATCTTCTTCACACAGCTGAGGCTCTGCACGTAGAGTCTCCAGTTCTGCCTTTCTCAACAAGAAATCTGCACAACTGTATAGAGAAAGTTTGAGATAATGTCGAGAGGTGTAATTAAAATCAACCATGAACAGAAAATACTAATTACCAAGAAAAAAAGAAATACAAAAAAAGGTGACCCTACACTCCAGATACTGCTGAGAACATGCGGATAGATTTACCCTCAACTTCTAAAACCTAGAAAAATTAGGGAGGCAGATACCAGTATGGGTGCCGGCACAGAGTATTTGGGCAAGTACTCGCACTTGTCCAAATGCTCCAGATACCAGAAATTCCAGTGTCAGGAACCCGGGCGATGAGTCATTGCACGCTGCCCAGCTTCCCGATTCGCCAGGAAGCTGACTCCAAGCTCCCTCGTCACCTGGTGTGAATACATAGACTTACCATTAAGTAATGTTTTGACATCAGCGACGAAGGTCCTTGGATCTCATGATGTGGATCCAAGAGACCTTCTTCGCTGATGTCGCAACATTACTTACTTATGGTAAGTCTATGTATTCACGCCTGTCTATTATCCGCATTGAATTTACTCACCTGCCCAATACGCTGACACCTCTGATGTCCGATTGGAAGTGCTAACACACAGCATCACCTTCCTGGAATCGTCCCTCCAAAGCCTCCACTAACTCATCCAGACGTGAGTATTACATTTCCAATCCTTAAATCACTTCCCTATGTATTCTCACTAGGTTGCTAGTGCTTCTCTATCCCCTCACCTTCTTGTTATCCACACCTGTGCATCACTAAGGTCACCTCCTGCTAAACCTTGTCTTTGGTCACAGCCAACGGTTTAGATTACATTTTAAGTTACCCTCTCATTTGGAGTATATTACAATGCAGACTCCTGTTTAGGAGATTTTGTTTAGCTTCCTGTTGAATCGCTGAGATGGGAAGTAGAGTGAAATTTCCTTAATGGTACCCAGATAGAAAAATGCCTTTCCAAGCCGAAAAGGCTTTGGGGGGGGAAAAAGAAAAAAAGGACAAGATTCTGTTACTTACTGTCGCATACTATGAAGAGTTTTGGCTAATCTCAATCCTTCAAGGCAGAAGGACTTGGCCTCAGAAACACTGCCAAGAGAGCTCAGAGTGCTGATAAGATCCTGAGAGCAGCTTAATAGATCAGCAAGTACTTGCCACTTCTGAAGAAGGTTCTCACCTGAATACAACAGATAACTTTGTTAAAAAGGATAGAATAGCACATAATTATACTTAGAAATGGTAAACATGTTCTAATTCTATTCATACCATAATCCACAAATCGCATTTCTGTTGTAGACTTTGGAGCGGACAAAACATCGTTTCCCACTAAGAGAAGGACAATGCTCCTGAGCAACTTGTGTGCCTCTGTCAGAGCAGTCTCTGGGTTATGCCAACCTGTAAAAAGTAAGGTAGCAGAAATTATATGTTTTATGTACACCAAACCCTAATAAAAAGGTTGGGGGGGGGGGGACAAAAAAAACATAGGAGTTGGGCTTTATAAAAAAAGAGAAGGAGGTTGCTTTAGGTTCCTAAACTCCATACTAAAAATAGATCTTTAGACCAAACTTTTTTTTCTAGTTTTTGATAGGTTCTAACCTTCCCCATTCTATCGGGTTCTTCTGAAGTGTCCCGAGTCTCCGATAGAGAGATCCACAAAACATTTCATGGGGCGATAAAAAGCAAAATATCTTCCAATGGGGACACCGGTTTTGGAGATAACTTTGGATTTAGCTCTTTGGCAAGGTTTCCATTAACTTCCTGTCATGGCCCTGGGATAAGATGTGAACAAAGTCCCTCCAATGGGGATGCAGACCACAAAAAAGCTTGATGACAAATTATAACCCTTTGAAACTTTGTCCCAAAATAGCTGTGTGATCATCTAGCAGAGTATTTGTCACATGATCTCTGCTGATGTGTGACAAATTGCAGTGCAAAGAAATACAAAAAAAATTAAAAAATAAGTTTACTTTTGCCTTGATCAAGGCAGGTATACAGTGCCACGTAATCACTGGAAAATAGGTGTAAAGTCTGCGTTGCAAAATTTGCATGCAGAAGGTCTAAAAATACAGAAACTGCCCAGATAATCTTTATAAATAAAAGTACTCTCAAAATAGATTTGTTTACCCTGGGCACAAAGCTTTTTGTAAAGATCTGGAAGCAACATTGCCGGTGGAAGCCGGAGATACGCGGAGAGCTCCTGCAAGACTTGGACTTTTAAAAGGTACCAGGCTTTGGAGGACTTCTGCAGAGACGGGTGCTGAAGAAGGCTTGTAAGAACTTCTACTCCATTCTTAACCTGCATCAATATATAGGAGCTTTCATTTACAAATGTACTTATAAAAACAGACATAAACAGGCCAGCTGGTCCTTAGTTTTGTTACATGTTCCCATTTAAAAAAAATAAAATTTTAAAAAATTGTTACCTACATTTAAAAGAGTTTTTTTTTTTACTTGCTTAAAATTCTACCTAGCTTCCCCTTTTGTAATGTTAAGGATGAGGCTGTGGGAAGTTAAGTTTACTGTAATTAACCCTGTCTCCACTGTGCTGGCAGATTTCATTATCAGTTGTAAACTAGATTTAAACACTGTCTGCCTTAACAACGATTCAAACCACACTGCTCCAGTATGAGCCTCCCTTCTGGACTGGTTTGCTCAGTCTGGTCACACACAGTGTGCTGCTGTATCTTGGACAGTCGCTCACTGTCCTTCAGATGAGACAACGGTCTAACGCGATCACCTGTCCATTCCAGAACACACAGGCCTGAAGACACTGCCAAGCGTGTCCTCCTGTGTCAGCAGTAGCTTACACAGGAGCACCGACTGACTGCAGGCTCTTCTCTGTGGGCGAAGTCCACCTGTCCTTAAATGCCTCCACTGTGCTACCTGTTCTGTGTTCACAGACACCCTTTGTCCACTAGCTCTGCCAGTGTAACTAGATCAAAATATTGGAAGCAGCTCCCTGGAAAGACCTGATTTACAGTATTTTTCCCCCAAGAAATCATTTTTTTAAAAAAAATATGAAACCCCTATTGTTCACTGTTGTAGTCTACTTCTCTACTTTTGTTCTGCAGTTCCTTTCCAGATCCACTTTAACAGAAACTGAGTTGAGAATTGGAAATTTTCATATTCTTGTTCATTGTAAACCCTCACAATTACCTGATTATTGATCCGGAAGAGATGGCTGCGGAGAAGTTCACAACTACATGAAGCCAAAATGTAAGCCTCACTAGTGCGGTCTGCATGCTCCAGGGCGGTTTCTGCCTCTTGAAGAGTGACCTAAGGCAAGACAGACAAAAATGACTACTCTCAAAGTCTTCCCAAGTGAAGACTCACAAAAACACACGCAATTTACTACCGGAGCAAAAGCAACTCCAGAACACCAGACGTTTGTCTTAAAAGCCTTACCTGAGCACATTCTGTACTCTCCAAGTAAAACATAAGCCTTGTTAAGTGGCATAGAGCTCCAACCTCACGTATAAAATCCCCCCAACTCCCACACAGATGTCTTACTAGCTGGAAGCTTTGTACGGCCTGCAAAGGCTGCAAGAAGAAAAGGAAAAAAAAAAAAAAAAAAAAAGGGAAAAATGTAAATGTCAGGTTTATTTTGGCCACACATTTGGCAATTTCAACTGTTTTTAACCAGTCTGGATACCAAAAAGGGAACATTACCTACTAGCATCCCTGCTATATAGATATAAATACATTAAAGTAGAGATTTACAAAATAAACAAAGAGCCATTTAACGGTCCTTCAGATCTTAGTGGGGCCAGACTGTGGCTAGTGGGAGGAGGAACTGTGCCATTGTTGGCGTCAGTGGGAGAAGATGTAGTTAGTGCCCCATTGATGGTGTCAGTGGGAGGAGGAATAGTGCTCCACCATTGGTGCTGACAGAAGAGTGCCCCAAGTGATGATTAAAGGCAAGAAAAAGCCTGATCTTAACGTTTTTCTCCTCCATCGACAGCCCAACTTCATCTCAAAAAGATCTCTCAAAGAGATGAAGTTGGTCTGTCTGTAGAGGAGAATAACGTTAAGATCAGGATTGGTCTCATCTGAAGGAAGGAAGATTACAGCTTCAAATAGTGTGAGGAAGGAGTTTTACCCTATAAGAAGCGATTTGAGACCCAAGGGTCTAAACACGGAGGTGAGAGGCTTATTTATCAGAGCACTGGTGTTTTTTTTAATGAGCACTTCAGCAAAAAAAAAAACAAGAAATTACAAGAGTGGGCAGAGTGATGCACAAAGAAAGACTAAGAAAACACCTTTTTTTTTTTTAGAGCTGCCTGCGCTAAATTAATTTATGGACACTTTGACCCAGGACGTTTGCTACTTTATTAGTCATTGAGTTTTTTTTAGATCACCTTGTGATTTACACAAACATTTGACCTAATTTCATTTGGAAAATTTTACATTATATATACATATTTATTTATCTTTTCTTCTTTCTCTCACAATAGTATTGTTCACTATAATATTTGTTTTTTGCACATATTTGTTTACTTGTTGGGTGATAGCACCGCTTCACATGTTTAAATGATATTAATGCAGGCTCATGCAGCCAATTTAAGTGAGCAGCTGTAAGGAGAAACGCCCAGTTTTCTTAGATTAATCGAACGCAGAAGTCCCTGTAGATAATACATTTAAGCGAGTGGGGTAAGCAGAAGAGCCTAGGCTGTTCTTCCTCCACACACACAACTCATGCCACCAATAACCCAGCTTCCAATTTATAAACATAAAAGACGGGGTGACAAGCCATTCAATTTAGACACACACACACGCGGACACACACACACGCGGACGCACCTTGCCCATGAGTCGGAAAAGAGAACCCAGTAGATGCAAGGAAAAGACAGTGTGTTCATTATTGTTTAAAGAAGGAATACTAGTTCCAGAGAGAATATCCTTCCACAGATCCAGAGCTTCGTCCAGACCTTTCATAGGCCCTTAAGCAGAAAAAGAAAAAAAAATGAACATTAAAAAAAAGGGTTACCTAACTGCTAGCCTCACACTTAAAAGTTTCACTATACATGCTTGTCTAGTAAGGTTTCAGGCAGTACATCAAAACCAGGTGTTAACCACTTTACATGAGGGGCACAGGAGGAATATAATGAAATGGACAACATTGCTAGTAAGAAGTAACTTAAAATGGAAGGGAAAAGATTTACCAGCCTCCCCAGCTAAGGTGAAACAAATGCCATCTTTAGCAGATTGGTCATCATGAAGTTTATCTTCATAGTTCAGGTCATTGGGTTCATACTCTACTCCGGTCCACTTTTTCTGGCTGTTCAGGTTTTCTTTCCGTTGCTGTTCCTCCAGAACCTAATAAAAAATGATGCAAAATACATTCATCAACATATCGTCAATGTGATGCTCCATAGGCTCGTTTGATGTACACAGTCATTTAAGATGATTGCACGTCACAAATGTAGTCGTTATTTTGCAAAGTCAAAAGAGAATACATATATACATACATACGTATACTGTTAACAGTTAATGTGAGCATTTAGCCACTCTTGTGCAACAATCTAAATTTTGCCAAAATTAGATCTACCCAGAAATATACTAAAATAAAATAACCCACACATCAAAATGCACTTTCTTCCTGCCATTTTAACATACCACCACAATAACTTGGATATACAAGAACATTCTATAATTCACAAGTCTATATTTTTACCATTTAAATCTAATAATAAAAGGAAGAAGGGCGTGTGGATGTAGCAGAGGCATACTGGATGTATATTTATTGTTTTTTGTATCTTAATTGTTTAAACCAAAGTCGATAAATACTCCTTGGAAGAAAACCAAGAAAATTAAGATTTTACCCTGCAGCAAGAAAGGAAACAAAATGGATCTGCACTGCACAAAAGTATAGCTGAAGGAAAGATGAAAAAAAAAGAAGAAAAACACCAAACACCCCTTTTTCTCTTTCAGCCAAGGTGCATTTTGTCATGTAAAAAAATGACAGAACATTTAGCTACTGGTTTTTATTACCATGAAAATACCAAGTGCAAACTGGAGATCAGGAAGGCACTGCATAATGTCATACATATGCAGCCAGATTGTGACCACAAACATACTTCACAGCCCTGATTTGGGACAGCCTGATAAGATGCAAGCACCAGGCATTAAGGGCTACTTCAGGGACAAATCTAGCCACTTCTGACAAAGTGCTTGTTATCCCACAAAGAAATATTGTAAAAAGCAATGCACAACT